AGAGTCAGTCCCAGGTGGGGACACTAGAATAAACAACTCTCCAGGTCTCCCCCAGCAGCCCGTGGGGGCCAGTAAGAAGACAGTTTCAATACACAGTACAAACGCGCATTTTACTGGTTACAGAATACATGTTTAAACATTCTAGAAGATGGGCCTTGAAACGGGCTCCAGGGGTGGCATGTATGTCTAGGGTCTGGGACCCAGGATCATGTGTGAAAGCCTGTGCCGAGGTACACTTGCCTAGAACTCTGAGCTGAGACAGCCTTGATCTCAGAGAGCACCATGAACAAAGATACTTGCTTCACCTGGGGCTCTTGGTCCTCTGGGCTCACAGGTCACACTTGCTTTGTCTGCAGCAGACCCTGGGTGTTAAGTCACACTCAAGATGGTATGCAGCAGGCAAAACCTCCTAACTTCTGACCTCCTCCTGTCTTTTGGCTGCCTAAGCCAAAGGCTAAGTCATATCAGGATTAGAAGAGATCCTTTCCCAGGGAGGAGTCAAGGTACCCACTGGGCATAGCGTCCCTTATTCACGCAACCATCTAGCTACAGAGCCCCAGGCCTGAACCCTTCCCTCCTATCTATGCCTACGGAATGGGCACTATGCAGGGATGTGTCAATGGACTGAATATGTGACAGACAGTGAAATGGCACCACAAACAGGAAATGACAATGGTGATCTAAGACTAGGGTCTTCCTCAGCTAGCTGCTCCGAGTCAGTTAGGCTGTGTGGAAGCAGCTTGTGGTGGGGCCGAGAGCTATCTCTTTCTAATCCCAGTCAGTGTATGGCACATGCAAGCCCCTCCCTCTCTCTCTCCCTGGCTCCCCTTTGACTCTTTTCCTGCTACATTGTTGCCTTCTTGTCTCCCTTCACAAAAGCATGAAGATTTGATTCCTTTGGGGACAACAAACAGCTCAGCTTTAAATGAGCCATAACCTCAGATCTTAGAGCCCTCACTTTGCAAATCCCTCTTCTACTCCCCCTATGTAGATTTCGTTCCTTTTCTATCCATCTGCCCACCGCCCCATCTTCCTGCCCCGACAATCTCACTTTTATAAGCCCGGTGTGCAGAATAGAAAAAGGCATGCTGAACTCAGCCCATCTCTCAGATCTTGCTTCCCTTCCTTGTCTTTCCTCTGTCTTAGTTTGGTTTTTTTTTTTTTAATCTATTAATTTCCTGTGAACATAATTGTATTACACATGCAAACTAAACATCGCCTCCCTCTTGTATCTGGGCTTGCAATCTTCTCCCTCTGTCTGGTCACCTTTTATATTTAAGTATTTACTGTTATTTATGACCCTCCACTGCTTGTATTTTATTCTCGCAATGGAAGGTGCAGCCTTGTTTGGGGGCCACGGTGTTCTTCGATTTTTCACGCATTCTTTGAAAGGTATAATGTATTTATCTATTTAAGGACTATGCATGGAATCTCATTACCATTTCTGTCCAGACAGCCTCTCTTAATTACCCATTTATCATGTTGCTTGTTTTATTATCTTTCTCTCCTTTTTTTTTTTTGCGTTTTTTTTTTTTTTAATTCTCTCTGTTCTCCCTCCCTGGAAGAACCTGGGTCTGGATTACCTCATCGATCTTCAGGATGAATGAGTGTCTCCTTATTAATCCTCGTGGACGTTCCTCTTCCGAGGCACCCACGGATCGCTTCCTCTCTTTGCTACTCTCTCCTCCCCTCTCTTTCATTTTCCCTCACGCCTTCTCCCTTCCCCTCTTCTCCCTGTGTCTTCTCATGAAGGGACCTCAGGTGCCCAGAATAAGATGAACAGAAGTCCCATGGGCCTTCCTTCCTGGCCTCTCTCTGTCATTTCCATTTCTAATTCAGTCATGTGTGCTCATTCATCCTTTCCATCACTCTTTTATTTCAATATTTATTCTTTTATTTATGGACCTCAGGTGCACAGATTTAGATTAAGCTTGATCTGAGGGTCCCAAGCCTTCTCCACATGGGTCTGCCTGCAGCTCTTTTGTTTTTTAATCTCCTGTGCTGGTGCTTGGGCTCAGGAGATATTTAGCTATCTCAGGAGCCCAGTTTTGAATTGAACAGCAGAATTCTTGCTGTTCTCTCGCTCAGCCCTATATGGCTCTCTCAGGCATATGCCTCCATGTATATTCATTACGTCCTCAACCTTTTCGCTGTGTCTGTCTGTCCCGTCTCTTTTCAGCATTGCATGTGTCTTCCTTTATCTCCTTTGTACATTTTTTTAATCCCTGACACCGCTTGAGCACCACAGTGATAAACTAATGTCACCGCTTCCCGAACATCCTTGTGTGGACACTCCTAAACTTGTTCCTTTTTGCTATTTTGACTTTTATGGGTGAGTTTCCACGCATTTGTTTGACACACCCAACAGATACGTATTCGCCATATTTAAACTCTTATCTGAGAACTGCTGTTTCCTCTTGTGCTCATCTAAATCTTTCCAATCTCTTCCCTTTTCTCTATCTTCCCACTGATCTAACTCTTTGTCCCAACATGATCAACAACAACATTTACAACCCCTGGTCTATAATTTTGTTTCCTGTGTTTGTCTTGCAAGGCGGAGATGGAACCCAGAACTTGGCACATGCTAGACAACAGCTTCATCCCTGAGCCCCAGCCCATCCCAGGGCCTCAATTTTGAATTAATATGGATGACTTGTGTTAAACAAGCGCCCAATCCTAGACTTAATTGTCCCCACTTATTATCTTCTCTGCTCCTTTTCATTTTTTCCCCATCTTATTGTTACTTTCTATCACTCCCTCGCCCTTTTATTCTCCGGGAGATCAGATGACCCTGGGGCTCGGCAGCACCCCTCCCCCTAAGAGTGAATGCAAATCTTTTTTTCCCATCCATTCATTTGTCCTCTCGCTTCCATTCAGTCTTTCTTTCCATTTCAATACTGGTTTCTGCACTTCCAGAGGGCAGGTGCACCTAATTGGATACATCATAATCTGCTATTAATGGACCTCCCCTCCAAGCCCCCATTGAAGCCCTCCCTGACATATTGATGCCTGAAAGGTCTCTTGGTCGGGTGGGTCATTGTCCATCTCAGAAGCACAGATGGGAATTAACCAGTCTGCTGACACAGCCCCTCGTCCCGTCCCTAGCAGGGCTCTGTCTTCCAGCTACATTCATCTACCTATTTGTGAGTGTATTATTACCTTTCTTCTCCTTTGTCACTGGCTGCCATTCTCAGCTACACAGCCTGGTGAATCGAGTCACCTGCAAACATCCTTACAGCTTTCTCTCCTCTGTGCCTTTCCCATTTACCATCCTTTCCCCCAGCTTTCCTTCTTTTTAGTATTTAACCCTCTGCTGATAGAATTGGTCAGATTGTGAAGCCTAGTTTAACCCTCCCCTGAAGTTCCTCATCTGTCTGCTTTCTTTCTGTCCTTATTTCTTTTTCTCTTCCTTTCTTTCTTTCTGTCTTTCTTCCTTCCTTCCTTTCTTCCTTCCTTCCTTCTTTCCTTCCTTCTATATTGCCTCTGTCTTGTTACAGTTTCCTATATGCCCTCTTTCTCACTTGCTGTCTCTCATCTCCTTGGAGCTGGGGTGTCCAGATAGGATTAACTATCCCCGATACTGACTTAGCTGGTCTCTCCCTGCATGCTCACACAGCCCCTCATATTTTGTAAGCACTTTGTTCGTTCTCTCTCTTTCCTGAGTCCTTCTCTCTCTGATCATGCCATCATCCCTCTGTTTATATTAAGGGGCCTCAAAACCCTCAGAGCTGGTTTAGACAGCTCTTCTCCTTCTTTCTGTCCTTTAGGATTCCTTCTGGAGTTAAAAATTTCCTTGGGTCCATGATGACACAATACCAGTTCACACATGGTACTTTCTATATCTATCACCTTGGCATTTTATTGATTTATATCGATTGCCTGGGCACCAATGAGACAGGATGAGACTGTGTGCGCCCACCATGACTTTCTCTTTATACCTAATTATTTCTCTATCCCTCATGCTGCTTTCACTCGCCCAGCTAAACATGCATTATGTGATGTAACACACACCAGTGAAACAGCCTCCCAACAAGAAAACCAGAGTACCCATGCCCTCTTGGCCCTTTTTACTTCCTCCCGCCATGTTAACTACCAAAGTGTGCAAACCCGTAGCCCAGAAACACACACACAAATGGCAGATGTGGGGCAAACACAGCATATGTTCTTTTAACACCAGATTCTCCCAGGGTTTACCCTAGACATACAAGGAACAAATCTGAGACTAGCCCCCCTCCTTCCCCAGACCCCCTTGGCAGGGCAGACACTTCCCCTTCTGCCCCTCTGGGCCCCAGTGAATGGCCATCCCCATGAGAAACCTGTTTCAAGACCCCAGAATACATAGAGACACAAACATAGTACGGTCTTCCCGGTGGGAAACGACGGAACAGAGTTCATTTGTAAATAGGTGGCTTTGTCTACAGCGATATAAAAATATTTTGGCCTTTTAAGACAGATACAAAAGAAAAGTCCCCATCACCGTCCCCAAATGTCTCAGTCCTAAACAATAAAGAACTTGAAGAGGTTTCGATGGAAACTTTGAAGACAGAAAACCTGCCCATTATGTTTCCCAGACATTTCCAGGGGGTGAGCTCAGGTCATTGGAGGCTTGAAGCCTATTTGAGAAGCTGGTCTCTCCGCCTGCATTTTCTCCTCAGCCCTTTGAAGGCCCCAGCTCACAAGGGCGCTTCCAATCCTAGTCAGTACAAGAGCCAGAGGGAGAGTCCGCAATGAAAGGCCCATTCATTTGGAAGAGTGAAAAAGAAGAAATTCTTTTGGGGTCCCACACTTGAAGCTGCCTATAGAATTCTTTTGAGACAGAGACAACACTAGGCGGATGGAGGCTCCCCTCTTACAACACAAGCGTCAGGTCAGCCCCCGACTTGGCTCACTGGGCAACCCCCCTTCCCCCCATCTGCACAGGCTGCAGCTCGCCTCACAGGGTACGTGGAAGCCCCACCCAATCAGCCATTACGTATGCTCGCTAGACTCTAGCCACTTACGATTGACAGTTGGAGGGTCCCAGGGGCAGGTTTCTGTGTCCATGTGTCCAGGGTCCCACGCAGGATTCCAGATGACGACTTTGGCTAAAAATCAGAAAGCTTGCAGTCACAGGATAGAATCCCACCCAGGAAAGCAAGTACCAGGAGGGGGGAACTGCCAAAGAAGTTCGCAAGGATGACTTACAGCAGAAACTCTCTCAAGTTCAACAAATTTGAAATCCACGGAGACTAGACTGTCTTTTCAACCCACTCATCCCATGCTCACCCTGACCAGCTACCTATGAGGGGATGGGGCATGTACCGAGAGCCTTGGTAGTAGCTTGCATGGTGGCCTAAGGGGGGTGCAAAGTGGGTAGCAAAGCTCTAGAGATAATGTACCTATAAAATGCCAACTGATACCTACGTGAGCAGCCCACTCCCAGGTAGACAGAGCTCTGAGAACACTCTGAAGGTAGGGCACAGGTTGTGCCCAGGGACAAGTCAATGGGCCAGCAAGACTCAGCATGGGCCAAGCCGGGCAGAGGGCCACATAATGGAGGCCAAGATCCCAGTATGTGGGCTATGCTAAGGCCATAGGGTTTTCAGTGGGCAGTATCTTGAATAACCATTGCACATACACAAACACACAGGATGACAGGTGACCCCTAGGTTACCCATCCAGCCACCTCTATGCTAACATGACACAGGAGTGCAACAGACCCAGCAGAACACCAGCACGCCAAGTCTTTACAAGTCCAGGACTTATCTCAAACATGAGGTAGGACTGTGAGATGTACAATAAAGACTCACATGACTAGACAACTACCAAGGCCCACAAAAAGTATAATGTAGAGGCAGCCTCCTAGTACGAACTCTATTCTCCTATCCACAACAGGATTGTCCCATGGCAGGACAATAAATGAACTATGTGTATACAACATGCTAATGAAGGGGCAAGGGTGTTTCTGTATACTTTTCTATTTTAATTTTATTTTTGAAACAGTTTCTTATGTAGCCCAGACTGGCCTCAAGTTTGCTATGTCGTAGAGAGTGAACCTGAACTTCTGACCATCCTGCTTTTACCTTCCAAGTGCTCAGATTATAGGCATGCATGGTTTTCTTTGGTGCTGGGGACGGAATCCTAAGGTTTCTGACCTGCTGGGCAAGCATTCTGACAATGGAGATACACCCCCAACTCTCGTAGCCAACTGCCTTGATTTTTCTACAAACTCAAATTGCTTGAGAAAATAAAACAAAACAAAATGACTGGTGGAAAACATGTTTTAAATGAGTTGATGTTTAAAATGTGTTATTAGCGTCTGGTAAAGGTCAAAACCTATGGCAAAGGGGAGTCTGTCTGGAAGTGGGGGTCTGGATGGGAGCAGGAGAAAAGCCAGGGTCAGTTCCAAAACCCTTTAAGTGACATGCAGGGAACCAGGAGACCCCGAGGAGTGAATGGGGGAGTGGGGGCACTACTAAGAAATAGACAATGAGAGGATTTGTGTGTGACAGGCTCTGGGATGTCACAGGCTGGGATGCACAAAACCACAGGACTTGGCAAACACCCTAGTGCAGGCTGCCAGATACCTGCCCTGCTAGCTCTTCAAGGACTCTCTTCCTTATCCTTATTTCAACCTTCACAGACAGGTTTTCCACCCATACCCTCCATTCCTAGATGGCGCTCTGGCTGAGGTATCCCAAACCCTTTCAGGGCACAGTGAGGACACAACTCTTTTATTTCCAAGCCTCCTGCAAATCCCTTCTCTGGCCTGTGCTCCCCAAACCCCACTCTGCCATAATTGCTGGAATCTGTGTCTTAAAAAAAAAAATAAGTGTTCACAGGACAACCAGAAGATATGGGTGACCCAAGAACTACTGGTCATCTAACAGCTCAGGAATGCATAACTGCATACTGAATACCGCTCTCCCCATGATCCCTGAAGGCTGGGGTGGCCACTCATCATAACCATGGTCCCTAGGTGACACAAGACTCCAGACCAAGAACACACAGTAAGACCAAAGACGCTGCTGTTTCCTTGCTGGAACCTGAGCTGGGGCCTTCACTCGACTCCTTCTGTTTTCCTCTATTTTGTTTTTAATGGCAGGGAGATAATCAGAAGCAACCCAGGGCATCTGGGTTTTTTCCTGTCTCTCCTCCAGGCCCCTGTGGACCCTAGGCGCACCTGACTGTCCTTAATGAACTCTGCATGCAGACCCCAGGCTGCTACGCTAGCACGTAACCCGGGCAAAGTCGTGCCTTGGTTTAAAAGCTGCGTGCAGCAGTTCCAGGTGTACGTGATATATTAATGACGCAGTGCAGGGCTGGAATCTTAACAAGTGTCAGAAAAGCTGCAGCAATGACTCACTTCAACCGAAGGGAAAAACAAGATTTTATAGAGTCCACAGGAACCACTGTCACAGACGTTTGATGGAAGACCTTGTAAATGTATGCCCTGAGTTCATGCTACACATATAAAATGAGGGTGGGTACAGCAAGTGCAGCCCCCATGGCGCAACAGGGTCAGAACATTCTAACTCTGCATCTTGAGATAATGCTTTTTAAAAGTTTCTCCCTTCCGGAGGCACACAGGACCTAATTGATCTTGTTTTCGGTACAAATATCTCTCACTGATGTTTCAAACAGAGGAAAAACGTCAAAGGACTATTTTTACTAAAATGTGGATTTCAAGAAATAAGAGTCTGCAGTTACACAAATGATCAGCCTTTCCCGTTTCCTACCTGTTGAGAAAATACTACCCTCTTGCAAGTTCCCCTGACAACTGTAAGCTCTTTGCAAAGCTCATTTCCTGTACCTTTGTTGAGACCCAGGCCCTGGACATTACAGGCCCATTTATGAAAATGGGAGCTGTAATTGGGACATCTTTTGAAACCATGTCCCCTTCTCCGCACCGGGCCCCCTCTAATTTTCGTTGGTCGGGTTTCAGAGGATGTTTATATACGCCTCTTCCTGGAATTTCACCTCTTTGCTTCAGGAGTGGGCAATTAGAGAGAATTAGGACCTATTTGGTACATGTTTACCCTTAATGGACAGAAAGACTGAAGCAGCCTTGGGAACACTGTCTGCCAGTCTAATTGAAGCTGGCAATTTTTTGATTCCTCATTTCAGCTTCATCGGTATTGTAGCAACCAAGGTCACAAAACAAAAGCTGCAGTCCCCCCACGGTAATGATGGGTGCAGACTGACAGAAAAGGTCTGCAAGCTCCTGATTGCCTCGCTGAGGCCCAGAGTCAGATGGAGAGAAGTACACAAGGGGGTGGAGGTGGGTGGGTACCACTCATTTTTTTTTTTATAAGTTGTTACCTTGGTGGCTTCAGCTAGAAATTCTTCCCTGAGTGGGCCAGGATGCCAAAAAGGCTGATACCAAGGGTCTCTTGACCAACGGGTGCACAATGACCCCTTCTGGACAGCACCCCTGGGACACATTCTCCTGACAGGGAAGTCATGGGTCTAGTCTCATTAGACAAGGAATGCTCTCTGGCCCAAAAAGGGTTTCCCAGCCTGGCCCGTGGGATGTTTGAATAATTCCCTGTAATAAGTAATACCTTTGCCACAACACACGGGGCAGCAACGGCCTCCACAAAGACCTATGATTTCTAAAACCTGTCAGTGAGGAACTAGCTGAGCTCTGAGACGCCCTGACCACGCTTGTCACTCGGGAACCTGCAATCAGCAGCCCTCACCCAGGGCTGCAACCGGCTAGACTGACAATCTGACCCTCTGGAATCTCCAGCCCCCTCACCTTTAAAGCAGGGGGGGGGAATAGAAACAAGGCTGCCAAGGGACCTCGTGTGCCAAAGACCCAGCACTTACAGATTCCAACTCCAAAGGCTTTAGATGACTACAGATCTGTACCCCTCATCTTAAGGATTGAGAAGGGATGACCCTGAGGGCTAAAGACAGAAGCTGGGGTCACATCCATAGGCAGGGCTGACAAGGGGCTGGGTTCAGACACTAGAAGACAGCTGAAGACAGCTGCCTATCCAGGACCCATGTACCCATTCTGAGCTCTGTCTACTGACCACCTGACAGTTTCTAAGCTAATAGAGGTCCAAAGTGTCCAGCCATGGACCTCTGCATGGCCATCTCTTGTTTCATGGGGGCTGTGTCTCATTACAGAATAGGCACAGTTAGGCTCTGGTCCCATTTTACCGACTGAGAAACTGAGGCTCAGAAATGGTCTATCGCAAAGACAGTGACCATGACTGAGAACCAGGACTCCTTCTCCTAGCAGGAACTTTTGCCTTGGGCCAGTCTAGGGCAGTAGTAGGACAACTCCTGGCAGGGGGATGGTCACTCTGACTTTTTCTGCTCTATGTCCCTAACCATATATACTCGCCTCGCCACACCCTAACTCAATTTCAGACCCCCTAACCCCACAGTTCCCTAACCTTGAAGGAACAGCTGCCTATCCACATACAGGATGACCCAGGGAACATGCTGGAAGGAAAAAAAAAAAAAGCCACACAGCTGTGGTCCCTAGTGGCCAGAAAAGACATGTGCTCACTCTTTGGCCCTTGCACGATCCTCTTTCCCCAATTTTCCATTCTGGACTATTGCTTGGCCCCATTCTGTCTCTAAAGCATCTTTTGGGCTCTGGGCCCAATGTGATCACATTCCTGCCTATAGTTAGTTAATCCTATGGCTCTTCTCCTAGAGACTTACACAAATCTAGCCCTGGGAAGGACAAGTTCAAGGGTCCCCAGGGTCAGACAGTGGGTGGGTGACTACGTGCATCATTATACAGCAGGGGTCTGCTCCTAGGTGCAACACACACACACACACAGAGACGCGCGTGTGGACACACACACATACACAGAGTGAGGGGCCCCCACACAGCACCCTGGGAACACACACACACCATGTCGAATAGGTAATTGAGGTTTTCTTCCTTTCATCTGAAGAAAGGGCACCTTCCATTGACAGGAGCCATTCACAGGACCTGGGAAACTCATCGAAGCTAGCTCTCCCAATTATCCCCAGGTGGCTGTGCTCCACAGGACTCCCCCACATTCCTTTCTGCCTGAGCCTTTGTTTCCAGCTGCAGCAGCCTCAGAGCTCCCAGGCTAAGTGTCTCCTCCTTAAGCCCTAGCCAAAGACCCTATTCACTGAGAGAAGAGAAGGCTAACTCAAGGTGGTGGGGAGCCTGGCTGTGGGGCCCCACTCTCAGGCTAGGGGAGGGAAGACCTCACCATCTGCAATTTTCTCTTAAGTCCAAAGAAACTAGAGAGCAATTAGGAAAGTCAAGACTGTACTGTACCCTCCACCCCTGTTCTCCTCTTAATTAATTCCTCTCCCACACACATCCTGCCTGAGTTGGAGGGGTGGGGGCTACTGGCCTCCGTCACCTAACACCTGCCCTATACACACACACACACACTGGAGGAAGAAAAAAAAACATGGACAATGCCTCTGAGAAGCCTGGCTGGCTAAGGCCACCAGATTCCCAAAGGAAGAGGCAGGGGGCCCCCCGAACATTGGCCTCAGGGCCAGACAATCCCAGAACACAGCAGACATTCGCATCAAAGATGGAGGTCTAGGTCCCCTCTCCTAATACTGTTCTGCTCTGTAGCACCGTTGCTGTGTTTCTAGGTGCCCAAAAGGAAATACCATCAGAGGCTCCTAATAGCCCCCTAAAGTATCCCTAACTCACAGAGGACTAATTTTTCTATGCCACAAAGGCACCCCCACTCTGAAATACCCCCTCCTCAGAAACCTAGAGAGTCCCAAGTGTCCATGAGCAGCCGGGGTTTACTCAGAGCTACCCACCACCCACCCAGTGCCTCTCTCCTTTCAAGACCCCTGTGCTTAAAGTAAACTCACTCAGAAAGACTCAATTCTCCTAGAATTTTTCCATCTTCTCTATCTAGGGATGGTGGTCTAAACTTTACTTTCCTCCTCCTTTTGTCTGACAGGGATGGGGCTGAAAGCAGCAGAAGAGAGGGTAGCTCTTGGGACTCATTCACAGCCTGTTAAATTCCAGTCTCTAGAGAAGAAAGGGCTCCCAGGGCAGCTGCCCCCACCCAGTTCCTCCAGCATGGCTTCTCCATTGTCCTTCCCTGTCCGCTGCTCTGTAGCCATTGAGGGCCTTAATTTACCTCCCCCCACACCCCTTTTGTGTGACACCCCTTACTCTTCATGAACCAGCTCATTAAAAGATCAGTAGATTTTCTTTTCATTCTAAGTCAGATTGCTCATAAAAAAAAAAATGTAAGTAACTTCATGTAAATGAAGGAATAAGAAACATATGCGTCCTGCTGCCCCGAAGTCTTGCCAGGTTTTGACATCATTTAGAGAAATGTACTTGTGAATACATTTGGGGTTTGAATCACACAAATCGGGGGCCCTGAAAACTGCAGCCAGCAGCTTGCAGGCGGGAATGAAAAAGCAAAGGCAGCCCCCCCCCCCCCCCACACACACACGATTAACCTCAGCTTAGCTTCCGGCATCCCTTTCCCATCCATCCCTGGGGCCGATGGACATGCACTCCCACAAGAAACTGCTATCTTTTCCCACAGTCTGACCTCCTCGTGAAGCACCAAGTTAGAATGGACTCTGGGGAGCTAAGTGCCTCCTATTACCATGGCAAATGACCAGAGACCACCTCCCATCTTTCCACCAGGTGACAAGGTCCCTGTGCCTGCCGTCTTGGCAATTTGGGCCTCATTTCCACCCTTCATGACTCAGGCCTTGTCCAAAGCATCAAAAAGAATTTTACAGAAAGCTATCATTTCTTTTGATTCTCACAAATACCAGCTTCTTGGCAGTTCCTAAGACTCTAACCTGAGAGGCTAGTGAATTGTATATTAATTGAGAACCTAGTATTCTCTTCCTTCTTCTTTAACCTAATGTCATACAAAATCTACCAAAGATATATCTGCCTGAGATTTAGCTTCCACACTCTCTGAAACATCAATCAAACTGTACCTTCATGTAAAGCCTGTTCTTGAATCCTGGGAGGGTAGGTGGGGCTGACTGCAGAGTGTGGGGAATATTCTGGGGTAAGTGAGCATATTGGTCTCATGGTTGGGTCTGTTCAGCCTCCTCTTAACCTAGCCTAACCCCTTGGCTCAGTCCACCTCCCAAGTTCTCTGCTGTTCCTAATGAACAAGCTCAGAGCTGCAAGCCCTTGGCTTGGCTCAGACTACCTACCCATTGGCTTTGTCTAAGCTCGGGATTTGATGCCCCTGGGAGCTAGTATCCTGCCCTGAGCAAAGTTCCCCTCCCAGCCCTCCTCCCTAGCCACGTCACTATGTTTGCAGGTTGCTCAGTAAATGCCAGCTACGGAGTAAATGTCACAAGACAGAGCCTTCCAGGTGCCCTAGGCACACACTCCCTCCTCCTTACAGCCTGCTGGGCTCTCTAGAGAGGTAAAGCAGACAGGCAAAGGCCAGGTCTGGGTGCTTGGTCCCCTCATGAACTAGGTTGTGTTTAATAATAAGATCCCATCCCATTTCCACTTCAGAGGGGAAGAGGCGGAGCTGTAGAGGAGCCATTTATAAATCTCGTTTAATGAGAGTATCATGGAAGCTCCATCAAAAAGCAGAGATATCATGGAAAAGGCAAGGCCTCCCTCCAAGCAGGCTGACATATTGGGGGAAATCTTGAGGCAACAGCATGGAGTTCAAGGTGTCAAAGGATAGCAACTAGGCCAAGGTCAGACCTAGACCCAGTCAAAGTACCCCAGTGTCTCACACCAGCTCAAGTAGGGCAAAGCATGAGGACCCTCCTCATTAAGCCACCTTGATGGCTTTCTTACTCACTTGACCCTTTAACCCTTTGTATAAAGCCTGGTCCTACCCCTCCCCTAACACACACAAGCCTCCGATGACTCTATAAGTATATCTTGAGTAAGTGAACCACTCTTTGTGGTTCAAAAACAAGCAAATACAAGATGAAGTCTTCTGTGTCTTCTCCACCATATTCCTGTCTCAAAGCAATGTCAAGGGTGAGGCAAAGAAAGACAGCCTAGCTCAAAACCACCATTTCCTTAGAGGACAGTGTCAAAGCTCCATGTATGCAAGGCTGACATTCTCTAAGTAATCAATCAGCATTGCCATGGCTGGCAGGGAGAAATGTCTCCCCACCAAGGGTGGATAGCCACCTGTGACTGTATCTCTGAATGAGACAAGACTGGAGCTGATGGTGGGACAAGCCCAAGGGCCTGTCAATTCATATCATAAACATAATCAGTCAGGTTGACTGTGTGCCTATTGTGTTTCTGAGTGTAGCCTATATGTGCCCTACCCCCACTTACCGTCTCTGGTCCCTGCTAGACAGGGGCCAGGATGGACTCCCACACGCGGCGTCTCGTGGCAACAGTCTCAGCTCCAGGCAGCATCCAGGCATCCAGGTTCCGAGGTGAAGGTGAGAAGCTTGGTGAGCTGCACCCTCCCCATGTATTCTTCTTGAGTGAAGATGTAATGTCAGTGAATTCTAACAAAGTTGTGTGTTAGTCGGCGCCAAGAGACTTACCCCAATCCAGAAGGGTCGTGATGTGCCGTGGGGTCCTCGCGCTGGGCATCCTGGGGTCCTCGCGCTGGGCGTCCTGGGGTCCTCGCGCTGGGCGTCCTGGGGTCCTCGCGCTGGGCATCCTGGGATCCTCGCGCTGGGCGTCCTGGGGTCCTCGCGCTGGGCATCCAGGGGTCCTCAGTCCTCTCTTCTTCAGCCGGCATGGCCGGTGGGCAATGCCAGCTTTGAGGAAAGGCAAACAATTAGAATTCCTACAAGGGAACACCCTGAAAGAAAGAAAAACTACCTGTACTCACACGCATGAAGACACGCAGCGGCCTCACCTGCTCTTCTGTGGAGATGGGCAGCTCGTGGAACCTGAGCACAACAGGAAATGGCACAGGAAGACGCGACAGGCCTGGATAGTAGCCCCCAAAACAACACCAAATGGTCAGCAAGGGGCCTAGGAGGGCGGAGCCATGGACTCTCAAGGACACCGTGGTGGTTAAGTGTGGTAAACACCCACCAGGGAAGGAGTTTGAGTTCGACGAAGACGACGACAGGATCTCCAGGCCCAGCAAGTCAACTCATAAACCTGTTTTAAGACCCTGGTCACTCAGCCCCTGGAAACTAGGCCCACAGGAGAGGAAGAACCACCAAGGGATTGTCCAACAGGCACCGGGGCGGCTGTTGGCAACTGAGGTGAGTTTGGGGAGGCGGAAGGGGGGCGGGGAGGGGGGAGCAGAACACAATGGGATGGGGGCCTGGTAGCAAGGCTAAGGGCAGCAGGTGGACCACGTTAGCCACAGTGTGGACTTAGCAAGGGAAGCCAGACTGTACAGCAGAGGTAGGAGTGGCTGAAACCCGAGGGAGAGGTTGGCATAGGATGCACCCAGGGACACTGAAGCAAAGGTAGGTGTTAGGGAGACACCATGAAAAAAGGCTATGCAAGCAGATGCCAAGGGGGTGAGGGCCCCCGGCCCCGCCCCCGCCCGGGGCCCCCCCCCCCCCCAGCGGGTAGAGAAGAGCAGGTGGGCAGCCAGGCAGTGGCGGGGCCTGCACATGCTCTCTAAATAATCCTATCATGGGACACAGTCATCAGCCTTAATTGGGGACAGAAAGGCTGGACTGAGTCCCTAGAGAAGGAACAAACTGTGGAAAGGGTCCAAAAGCCTCAGACCCCCATCCATCGCCCTCTCAAGAGGGAGACCTGTGTGGCCAGGACAGGCACATCACAGCTGTTCCTTGCGCTAGCCTCAGCTCTAAGCTGCAGGGTCAATAGCCCATACTCAGCCATGAATGGGGAGGGAGGCAGAGAGGGGGGCAAGGCCCTGGGGGTGGGCAGGCAAACCAAGCCCACCCCATGCCCTCTGAATGCTCTCTATGGAGCCAGAGACCACTGCTCTGGCTCCCAGACAACCCCCCAGCTTGCCCTCCCTGGGAAGCAGAGGCCATCAAGGGACAAGCTAGGTGGCAGGTGCCAAGCCCAGGGCCAGGACCATGGGCATGCTCAGTTAGGATCAACTGTGGATGACAGAGTAAACGCGCGGACGAATGCAGGGCGCAACCATAGAACCCCTCAAAGGGGGCTGAGATCAGGGCAGGTTGCTACAGATTCCCAAGTACCTTGAACCTCCCCACTCCTCCTGACCCTTGGCTGCCCAGATGTGGCAGTTGAGCCCGTCCATTCGTCCGCCTGTCCCACCATACATCATCCCACATACTCTTACTGAGCCCCACTATTTACCGGGTTGGTGCTGGGACACCCAGAGGAGGAAGGGGTGGCCTAGGGGCACCCCAAAAAGGGGCCAGATCCAATTGGGAGACGGAGGGAGACAAACAGAGGGAGGCTGAGACAGAGAATGGAGGGGAATGGGCAATAAAGGCAGAAAAACAGTTGTCCTCAGAAGAATTGGGGGACTGGTGCTTTTCCTGCCTCCTCCCTCCCACTCCTTGGCCTCATCTCTGTAGCTTCCTGATATGTCCTGATGGGTCCCATAGATGCTGATTACCCAAAATGCTCTGGGCCTGTGGGCCAACTACCCTAAAGCCAGCCTAGATGCCTGGACTGCAAGAGGAGGGGGGACTTTTATACCCACTGATGCACAGAAGCACCCTCGAGGGTCCCAGGAAGTGGACTAAGGGGTGAAAAGCAAACTGTGCTCCAGGAAACAGTTTACCTGGAGTCCTACTTACAGGCTTCCTGCCTTTCAGAACATCAAGGGGCTGAGATGGTAGCGGAGGAGGTGGGGGACCTGTGGGGGGGGGGTCTTGTTTGAATTGCTCAAGGCTGAGTTTGGAGGCCTGATGACCTAAGACTGTAAAATACTGAACAAAGGCCCTCTGCATTTTCCCTAGCTTTTTAAAATACTCCTGGACTCCTTGAGTATCAGAAGTGGCTTCGGGGACCTATTATTTCAATGTAAATATTATTGATAAGATATTTGAGACAAGGGACGCTGCAGATAGTGGGAGCCTCTATATCTGACTGCACTGCGAACGGGGAGCCTTGTGTCTGCCTTCTACTTCCCTGGGCCTCGACTCTATCCTAGTGCCTTAATGTCAAGTCCAGCATGGTGCTGTACTGGACCCACTGGGGAAAGGAGGGTGGGAGGAGGGTGTCCCCTTCACCTGGTTTGTTGATTGCTGGAGTGAGACTGGGGAACTAGCAGGAGTCTAGGTGAGAAGGAATGACTGTGGCCCCTAGAAAAGTCTTGTAGTTCCTTGTCTCAAAGCTACCTTCAACTTGCAACCCCGTTCAATGGGTCTTGCACTGGGACTGACCAGGGCTTAGTCTTCAAGGAGGGTGGGGGGGAATCTACAACACTGACATTAAAGAGGGCCTTAAGACCCCAAGGCCCCCCCTACTCCTCAACCACCAGCTCAGCTCTCATTATGATAATCAATGTTTTTCCTTTGCAAACAAAAAGGGCTCCTTTATGAAATGACTATTGGAGCCCAGTAGCTACCTCATTAGCCCTGCAGCCTCTTCCTTCCACGAGGCCCAAGATTAGCCAGCCCCGTGTTCATTAAGGAGAAAGGGCAACAAGTAGAATAGAACTGGAAAAAAGAAAAAAGGGGAAAAAATAGCTGGGGGGCAGGGGTGGCTCTGTCCCCACCATGAGCTGGACATTCCTTGAGACCCTTCTGACCCTTCCTGTACCATCGGGACTTAATCACCAGTCCAGGGAGGCATTAGGGAAGGGGCAAGCGGTGCAGAGGTTAAACCTCAGGAGAGGAACTCAAAACCCTTCAATGGGGCTATGTGATATCTGAGGCTTCCTGGGATGTGTCACTGGGTAATCAACTTAAAAGCTTCCTTCTGGTTTTTCTCCTCTAAGCCCAGGCTAACCTAAGAGGAAAGCTCTCCCTAGATGAGGTTTGAGTTTTCTAAATCCCCTTTCTTTGCCTTTGCTGTCTTTAAATGCTCAGCCTCCCCCTCCAAACCACCCCCCACCCCCGTCCCTGCTTTGGTCTTCCCTGTGGGAACCTAACTTTGAGAAAACTTAATTGTGATCCAAATTACATTTGCTCAGGGATACCTAATTGATTTCCCTTCCAGTCCCTCAGCTAAGGAGTCTGCAAGTCTTACCTGATGGAACTCACCTGGCCTTCCAGGCGAAGACCATTAACCCTGTTTTAGCCAAGGTAGCTTGCAAGAACTGCCCTACACCGTAGTCCCAGCTTTAAGTGCTTTTCCTAAGACCTGAACCCAGACCAGCAACCCCAGAGTGCTCTAGGCAGCCCTGGAAGCTGGGTAGCCTGAGGCAGGTTTGGGAAACTGAGAGGAGCAGGAATGTTAAGTCCCCAGGGAAAGTGAGAAGAGTTGTTGTGTGTCCGTGAAGCCAGTCATGTGGAAATAGAGGGGAACCAGAGCTGTGAAGCCATGGAGCAGCAGGAATGGAGGTGCATGTGTCCTTGTGTCCAGCCAGGCTGGAATCGTGCCAAGGGGCAAGCTACAGAAAAGTCTTTACCTGAGCGAGAGCCGTTCGATGGAGAAGAGCGAGTCAGGAAGCAGTGGGTTGGAGGGGAAATTGGAGATGAGGAAGGAAAGCAGCGAGTGTAGACAGGCCTCGAGAAGCCGGGCTGTGAAGGAAAGACAGACACTGGAGTGGCAAGGAAGGAAGACAGGGGGAGGCGGGACTCCAGGTGAGCACAGTGTGGATTCAGGAGTCCAGAGAGGAACTGGAGGTGCAGGCTGGAAACAGGTACATGTCCACTGCTACTAAAACGGAAGAGGCCATGAGGCTAACGATATGTGGGGGCCCCATCAGAAACCACTTGGCGACCTCTGCTTCCCTGCGTGATGGCAGGCCGGCCCTGGATCAGGACAGGAAGTTGTGAGCATCAAATGAATGGACAATTGCCAACAGAGGGACCAGGGTAACTCCAGTCTCCATGTGCGCAGAACAGTACTGCGGACGGAGCGGGCAGTAGTGAGACCCCCTGGCCACTCTGCAAGACGGAAAGGGTCCCTCCAATTAGCCTGAATTAACTCAGAGCGGGGTCTCCGCCCACAGCATTTGTCTGTTCCTACGTGCTGCTTCTGCCTCCACTTGCCTCATAATCCAATCAGCTCTTTTCAGAGGCCTGGACTCTATTGTCCACTCCACGCCAGGCTTGCCATAAAGCGACCCAGTTGGGTTTTTTTTTTCCTTTTTTTTTTTTTTGTCTTGTCTGGACAAAACTGGTTGGTTTAAAAGGCCACCAAAGAAAGTGCTGGTAAAAAATGAGGATCCTAATTAGCTTCCCAGAGAGACTGTTCTTTTTATCTTTGTACCTCAGCCTGGTGCACTGGGCACATGGTCAGCGTCTCAGAAAATGTTTGTTGAATGAAAAAAAATTTTTTTTTTAATTCTGGAAATTATTTATTGAGCACAAAGACACCCAGCACCTACTGGGTGCTCACTGAGACTAGGGCTGTTTGGTTGGTGGGTAGTAGGGACAGCCTCATTGGTTAGTTAAGTATTTTTGCAATTTCACGGGCGATTTACAAGGCACTTTCTTGTGAGTTACATCGTTTGGTCTTCAGAAGCACTCTGTGGGGTAGATAAACTGGTTTCCTCCCCCCACCCCCCCAATCCTCCCGCCTCCCCCCACCCCCCAATTTTTATTTATTTCTCCTTTTTTTTAAAAAAAAAAAATAAATGCCTATTTAGGTGTGAAAGGAACTGAAACATAGAAGCTAAATGAATGATTTGTTTGAGGTCACACCATTACTAAGAGGTGAGGTCAGCACATGCTACCAGACTTGGGCCAGGCCCCCCACCCCCACCCCCACCCCCCCGACCACCCTTGGGAAGCTAAGATTTCCCGTTGTGAAATGTTTGATCTGAATTGAAGAACTTTAGGTGGAGGGCAGGGGATTGGAGCATCAGGGGTCGCCACAATGGCACCCGTGTCCATTTGACCCCTTCTCTTCTTACCCAATGTGGTAAGAGTGTCCTCCGTGTGAATTTGAAGTCCAGCCTCACTCCCCCGAATGAGGCTGAGTTATCCCAGTTCCCTTTCCCACCTACCTCTTTAAAACTCATGGAAAGAAAAACAAAACAAAACAAAAAACCCCAATGCCAATTCACCCCTCTCTAGACACGAGGCTACCCCCTTTGACACACATGAATTGCATAGGAATAACACAGTCACGTTGTGTAGAAAGTGCTCTGGAAATGGCCACACACGTTCCTCATGTCCTTACTCAAAGTCTCCCCGACGGCCTGTTGTCTTTAGGAGCCCCTACCTGGAGCGAGAAGAGCCCTGGACATAGGGGCTACAGGAGACTGCAGGAGAATAGATGAGGCACATGAGACCGTGGGTTGGGGACTAGATCCACCTGTGAACCTTTCAACAAACATGTGCTGAGATTTCTGCCCAGCCCTGCCTCAGGCTGCTGTAGTTCATTTAATTCTCACAACAGCCCTAGGAGGTTGCTCCTAATGTCCCCATTACCCCAAAAGGAAGGGACATCTCCAAGAAGGAGGGTGGAGAGGGAGGGGACATGCCTTTGAGGGTCAGCCACATGCTCATTCCAAAAGGAAGCACCCACCCCACCCCACCCCACCCACAGACTTGCCAGCAAGATGCTGGTTCCCCCCCACCCGGCCCAGGTCCCCCCCTCCTGAGAGGTTCCCAAAGGGATCCTTCTGCTCAGGACATTGTTAGGACAACATGGTCAGTCACAAAGGGACGACCCCCCTTTGGGGAGGGAAGCACTCCAGTTCACTAGCAGATGAACACAAGCACAGATGTACAGGAAAGGGCTCAGACTCAAGACACAAGCAGAGCAAAGGTCAAGGGTCACAGCCAGTGCCCCCTCACTAGGGCATTGGTTCAAGGTTTGAACCCCAGAGAGAGACTAGCTGGACTCTGGTGATCCTCTTTGTCACTTGTCCCTCGCTGTCCTGGTCCAGGGGGGTCCACAAGAAGTTGTTCTGTATGCTGGCAGGTTCCTGGAATCCATGCTCCTCCCTTCTGCAAATAACCAAAGGTTAGAGAATATATTAAATGCCCAGGTATAGGTATTAATTACAATTTAAGTTAATTAATTACAACTAATTATAATTACAGCTAATTATTTAACATTTTAAGTTGTCTCTAATGGCTAATGGGTCTGGGGGTAATGAATTGGGGGATGGGCATGAGGAGCCTACAGGCCATATAGCATGCAAGCAACTTGAGGGAGTGGCTGTGGTACCAGGAGGCAGGTGCGCAGCAGGTACTTGAACATCCAGAAGGTGGTCCTGGAAGACTGGTGTGAGCCGATGATGTCATCCCTGAAGAGAGAGCCTATGATATGGGAGGGGGGTGTTAGAAACCACCTTGAGGACCTCTAACGGCCAGCACAAGAACAGCATCTAGAGGGAGGAGGCAAGAGAAAGAGAAGAGAAGGGAGGGGAAGGCTTAGGGGGA